AAAGTCGGGAACTTACTTCTAAGTTCCAGTAGCAGTAGAATTTGCTTTGCACTGCTATTTCCTACCTTCTAAATTCCACTGAAAATGCTCTCAGTAAGGCCAGATGATCTAGTTTTCCAAAGCACTGGGTTTTTTTTTTCATATTACTTTAGCTCTTACAACATTTGACACTTGACTACTCTCCTTGTCCTGTGCTATCACACAGTCCTGGATGTCCTTTGATTTCTTGCACAATCTCGTTTGTCAAGCCCTGTTCCAATTCCATGTTTATCTGCTGCTGTTCTCTCAAGTCATCTTCTGGACATGCTCTCAATTTTCATTGCTCTGAGCAAACTCAAACGTCCACTTAGCATCTGCTGCTTTCTGTTGGCTGAACAGGTTCCCAAATCTATCTGTCTCTAGCCCCAGCTTTTCTCCTACACCTGTCCCACTTAGCCACCTGCTTACTTGACATCTACACTTGTTTTTCATAGGTATTTCTATCTCCTAGCTAAAGTTCAGTGCATTGTCTGCAGTCCCTAAACCTTTTCTTTTCCCTTTAGTCACTTTCTCCACGAAAGCCTTCATTGTCTGAAGCCAGAAACATAGAACTTCCTCTGGCTTACTTCTCTGCTCATACTCCCATGTTACACTTCCTTGCTTGATCATATTAATGCTTCATTTCATGGAATTCCTTTCCCCTTGTTAGTTAGCATGGTGAACTTTGCTTATCTTTGAAGACCATCTTGGTGAAGACTCCTTTGACCATTCTAAGCTGTGTTAATCATTCTTCCTTTGTGCCATTTTTACATATCTATATTTTAAGTGCTTTTGACATTTGCTGTCTTATAACTCTTTATGTATGAGCATGTGTTTTAGACATTGAGTTTCTTTAAGTTGGAGATGATGCCTTATTTACATCTTTATATCCTCAATGCTTAACAAAGAATCAGACAGTAAGTGCCCTAAAATGCGTAATGAAAGGACAAACATTTGTACTCTGTGCAGTCAGCCTAGTAAATGTGCTATCTTGCATATTTCTCCATGTACAGGAATAATTTCATTGTATTATGATAAACTCCTAAGAAAGGAATGCCTCCAGTATTACCTCCACATAGATGAGGGAATGAACAATAATTAGGTGTTGTCAAAGTCAGAGTCTTTCAGGAGACAAAGAAATGGGAAATAGTCCTGCTAGGTACAGAGAAGAGACTTGTTCAATATGTGAGGAAACTATAGTGCAGACTAGCTAGAAAAGAAGGTAGTATACTATTTGGAACTTGAACTTATTCTTTAGGGAAAACATAAGAGGATTTAAGCCAGGAGGGTAAAACAATTTTGGTTTTTTGTTGTTTTGTAGTACCTAAGGTTTTGCACTACAATCCTGTTTGTTGTTGTTCTTGTTTACAAAGACATTTTAACAGTGTATAGAATAAGGAATGGAAAGATAATAAAACTGAAGTAAAGACACTAGTAGTTAGTGGAAACAGCTAATATGAGTTTCTAAAAATTGTAGAAACAAAACTGACTAGAAGGAAAGATTTCTGTAGAGAATGGAGAATGGACTCTAGATTGAATCTAGTTCAGCCATTCTTGCTTTTCTGGTACAATGTAGTAAAATCCACGTTTTTTAACACTGTGACTATCAGTGTAGTTTTGACAGTGCATAGGGCTGCTAAGATTGCTTTCATAGTTCATAGTGCCCTCTAGCATCCTAGTAAAGTAATGATGAAAGAATGAATGCTGAACTGTTTCATTTCAGCAGCATTTTCACGTAACTCCATGGATGAGTACTATGACAAAAAACAGATATACTGTGTGTGTGTGTGTGTGTGTGTGTGTGTGTGCGCGCGCGTTTAACAAAAATTTCTTTAGCTAGCGCCAGTGACTCATGTCTGTAATCCTAGCTACTCAGAAGGCTCAGATCTGAGGATCACAGTTCAAAGCCATCCTGGGCAGGAAAGTTTGTGAGACTCTTATCTCCAGTGCTAGCCTTGAGTTGAAGAGCTCTGGAACAGTGCCCAGGCCCAGAGTTCAAGACCCAAGACCAACAACAACAACAACAAAAATCTTTTCTTTGCTTTAGCAGCTCGTCTTAACATCCATGTTCAGTCAGTTTCCTCTTCTATTTTCCTGTTACAAGTAGGATATTATTTGGTCCGTTTTATTTTAATTTTATTGTGTCAGTCCTGGGGCTTCAACTCAGCCTGAGATTCTTTGGCTCAAGGCTAGTGCTCTATCACTTGAACTACTGCCCCACTTCCAACTCTTTTGGTTGTTAGAGATAAGAGTCTCACAGAATTTCCTGCCCACACTGGCTTGTACTGTGATCCTCAGATCTCAACCTCTTGAGTAGCCAGGATTATAGGCATGAGCCACTGGTGCCCAGTTTACATCGTGCATTTTAAAACAGACTGAAAACTAACCCAAAACAACCTCATGCCTATGATCCTAGCTACTCACCAAGCTGAGTTCTGAGTATCAAGGTTGAAAGCCAGCTTGTACAGACAAATCCAAAAAACTCATCTCCAGTTAATCACCCAAAAGCTGGAACCAAAGACATAGCTTAAGTAATAGTTACAACTATGAGCAAAAAAGCAGAATGAGAGAAAAAGCAGAGCAAGAACATGAGACCCTGAGTTCAAGCTCCAATACTAGCACCAAAAGAAAGCAACTAAAATACTTCTTTCAGTATTTCTCACTGAGAATTTTGTAATGCATTTATCTCCTTTTCTACTGTCCGTTTTCAGGTATTTTCTCCTCTTTACCAAAATTCATTTGCCTTTAGAACTGTTGGCTGGAATGTTACCCATTTTGAAGGCAAAGTATATCTTAAATCATCTTTGTAACATATACTGCCTGCTACAAGTCGACACATTTGTTCCAGTAAAAGAGCAGTAAATACTGTTTTCACATAAATGCTAGGGAATTGTACTATAAGCTAGCTTCCAGAATTTCCTATATAAGAAAACAACTATTTATTATTGTGTTCACTTTTATTTAACCTCTTTTCGCTTTTCATATCCTTTGTGTTCTTAATCTTGAGCTATTTTGTGCCATTTTAAATTGTTACCTTGTTTTTAGGTATATTAATCAAAGCCACTTATCCATATTATCTCAATTTATACTTGAATAATTTCAGTAAGTTTTATTTTTCTGGAACCATTAAACAGCCTTATTTATTTTTCAAAAACTATTGGGTTTTGTCCTCCAACACACATACACAAAAAGAAAATAAAAATAAGCCTTATCAGTAGTGCTTACAATGAGGGCATCTATAATTGTTTGTCCTCAGAGACTTTGAGTCTGACTATGTAATTAAGATCATGCCTGTCGTCCATGAATACTAAGAATACCCGGCGGCTTAGCATGGCGGTACACTGCCTATAATCCCAACTACTGGGAGACAAGAGGATGGAGGTTTGAGGCAAAAGCATATGAGATCCTACATGAAAATAAACTAAAGCAAAAAGAGACTGGGGATCTCACTCGAGCGGTAGACACTTGCCTAGAAAGCACAAGGCTCTGAGTTCCCTGCCCCCCCCCCAAAAGACTATATCAAACATTCATCCATTCCCCTAATAACTCATTAAGAATTTATTAATTTATCTAAATCACTGTACCTTACAGAAGGCACTCATAGCAAGAGGAAGCATGTGGTCCCTCATTAAGTTCTGATATGATATTTTCCAGTACCCGTTATTAATATATATTTACCCCCCAAAAAAAGATCACCAATAGGTTTCAAGGTTGAAAAACAATTAGTTTAAATCTCAATAATCAACTAATGTTATTATTATATATCCTTTTGTACAAATTTCATTAATTATCTATATTCTTTGAAAGATATGTAAAAAGACTTCCCTTTATTTGTCCCTTCATTCCTTATTCAATGAACATCTCTGTCCTAAAATGTTTGCCATATTCATACTCTTCCTAGTATGTTGTATATGTGCTGGTACTGGGGCTTAAACTGGGGTTCCACGTTTTCATTCACAGCTAGCACTCTACATACTTGAGCCACACATCTAGTTTTGGCATTTGATGCCAAAGTGGAGATAAAAGTCTCATGGACTTAGTGCCCAAGCTGGCTTCAAACCTTGATCCTCAGATCTCAGCCTCCTGACGAGATAGGATTATGGGCATAAACCACCAGTGCCAAGCCCCAGTCATTCTAGTGCACTTCACTCAGTTTTCCCCAGCTTTATTTTTCATTTTGAGGGAAATGGTCTGAATTTTAATGGTCATTTCAGATGCAATTTTTACTATGCCTTTATACATGGATAGGATCCTTTGTTTTGTTTTCTGCAGTTTACCTAATATTACCAAGGGAGAAAATGAATGTTTCCAGGGCTGGGAAGGTGGCTCAGTGGCAGAGCGCTTGCCTTCCATGCATGAGGTCCTGGGTTCGATTCCTCAGCACCACATAAGCACAAAGGCTGGAAGTGGTGCTGTGGCTCAAGTGGTAAAGTGCTAGTCTTAGCTGAAGAGCTCAGAGACAGTGCCCAGGCCCAAAGCTCAGGCCCCATGACTAACAAAAAAAAGACTGTTTCCTTCATTCTAGATACTTTGCTAAAAATCTTGCGTGTGTTAACTTGTGAGGTAAATAGTTCTTAGCTCCATTCCTACAGTTCAAAGAACTGTAACTTACCTTTTACCATTTACTCAAATATAACCAGTCTAGCTCTTAGACTTAATCTCCATGTGTACATACTGTAGCTGACTTTCCCTTTTGAAGAAAATCTGTACTATTTGCTATATCCTTAATTTTTCTTATTTCTGATACCTTTTCCCTTGGGTTCCTACAAAAGGTGAAAGATTGTATATTACATGCCATATTAGTACAACCTCCAAGTGGCCTTTCCTATCTCTAAAACTGATTTTTTTTAACTAAGGTTTGAAATCAGATTAGCTTTTGCCAGTGGCCTGGCTGTGTTTCCATTTCCCTCTGTAGATGAGTGGTTGATGATGGTGAACGTGCAAAGGTTTCTGTCTAAAATAAACCCTCTTCTGTTTTGCAGTGGATAGCCTGCTGAAATACACTGGCTATGGAAATGCTGCAGGACTGTTGGCGGCCAGGGGCCTCTTGGCTGGAGGAAGAGGAGATAATTGGTACTCAGAAGATGAGGACACAGACACTGAAGAATACAAAAATGCAAAACCAAAGTACAGTATCAAGTTTTTTTTCACCTAACCTTAGCTGTGCCTTTTGAGTTGGTTATTTGCCTTTCACTTCGTCTTTCATTTTCCAATGTTTCCTTCTCTTGTGGACGTGGACGCTTTCCATTTAATGGTGTTTTTAGAGGCAGTTTCATAGCTGGTTCCATAGGTGACTTGGGTGATTGAAGAATGTTAACACTTCAAGAAATGTTCTGCTGCATGCTATTTTCACAGTGCTCTTTCTCATCTTTCAAGTACCAAGAGAGCTGCTGGTTTTAGATATTTACCATCTGCTTTAGAAGTATTATTACTTACCACTTGCCTTCCTTTGCATAGATTGAGATTCTAGAAACTATACCAAAGACCAAGTATTTAAGTTGGCTCTTTGAGTCTTAAATCTTTGTTAGAAATCTAAATGTAAGCTCTGTACATTATAATAGATCCCTTTTATAAAACTCCTTACATATCAAAAAGTAATGGAGCAAGGCACATTAATTTAACACAAGTAATGAAGTGTGGCCCCACTTTGGGTTTTAATCTAACATACACTTAGGAAGTTAACAGGTATGACAGGTGTGACCACATGCTAAATGGGCAAACCAGAAACATTGAAGTCTTCTAGTCAGTGCATACAAATTAAAGATAATAATTCTTTATATCTTTTTATACAGTTCCTGTTTCTAAACAAACCACCTTCTTCCATTCTTTCTCTTTCCTTTGTTCCCTCCCCATCCTTTCCTCCCTTCCAGTCGTACTCTCAGGTAAGTTTCTTAATCTCTACTAGTAAGTGCAGTCATTTGAATTCAGTTTTGCTGAGCTCTGTTACTAAATGTTAGTGAGATGTACCCTTTCCCTATGGCACTGTCAGGGTTGATAGGCTTTTTTCTATAAAGTATTCCAGAATAAATAGAGTGAATTTGAGGTAAAAGAATTGTATTTCTTTCTCTAAGTGGTTATTCTAAATCAGTTCTTGTTAGCTCTTGATTCTTTCATTCTATAAACTATATTTCTATATCAGTTTAGATATCTTGCCAGATATATTTTATGTCTCTTCATTTGAGACTCAAAAATATACCATTTGAAAAGTGATGTCTTGAGAAGTCGGTGTCTGTCCCTCCTTCCTTCCTTTCTTCCCTTCTTCCTTTTCATCTATTCTCTCACTTTCCCTTCCCTTTCTCCTTCTCCTCCCTCTCTTGACAAGGATCTCACTGTATTACCCATGCTAATCCAAGCTCCAAGGCTTAACTGGTCACGTTAGTGATAAATTTAGTCCACATTAGTGTGCACTATCACACCCAGCTAAAAGTCATATTTTTAAATGAAGGCAGAGAATACATTAGACAGTCGTTGAAATCTAGGGCATATGGAAGCAGCCCACTAAGATAGAGAACCCTAAGTATTCATGGATATGGAGGTTTACTATCTTTGCATCTCACTGTATATTGTTGATTTTATTTAGTGTGACTTTTAAAATAACAATATGGTCACATGGATAATCTAGTTAAGCTTATAAAGTCAGTGACTTAACGGATTGCCTTCTACAAACTGCCCTTCACTAGTCAAAGTTCTCAGTTTTGTTTTTCTTTTATGATGCACTGGTTCACAATAGTTGCTAGTATTAATAGAAACAGAAATTACCCTTCATCTAGTTGGCCCTAGTCCCGATTCTGACTAGTACACCAAGGTAACCTATAATCCTTTACTGGAATCCTTTACAAGAATTATATGGAGCTTACATTCAGACTATGGGAGACAGTTAATATTACAGAACTTCTTTTTTGTGTCAAAATAAATTATGTAATGGAGTGGAAATGACATTCTGCAAATAGCACATTCAGAGTATACTCATTTAGTCATGTTACAGGCCACATAGATTTTTAGTATGTTTCTAGCATCTTTGTTAAATTTTCAGATAAAGTTTAGTTCTAAAGTTGATCTAAGTGACTGACAGGGAGTGTATACCATTGTAACATCAGTTGAAAGATGCATGTTTAATGGCATTTGGCTTTTTTGAGACCAGTGGCTTTCAGGCTGGGTGAAAAGGGTTGTCCTTAAATGGCCATTTTATGGAGGATAAACAGGAGGAAGAGATAGCCAAAATTAACCAGAATCCTAGGACACCTTCTGACACTCTTCACACTCACAGTAGTTCATAATTATGTCCAAAACTTAAAATCATTTCTCTAAATAAATAAACTCAGGGCTATTTTATTTAGGGTGTTTTTATCTCAGCTATAACTGTGGCAGCAGCTAATTTCTTTTTGTGTTTTTTAATTTAAATTTTATTATAAAGATGATATAACGAATAATTACATAATTAATGAGTACATTTCTTTTTGAACAGTGTTGCATTTTCTCCCACTTCTCCCCCATATCTCTATCTAGCCCAAGTTGTAAAGTTCATTTCCAACGTAGTATCTAGTGCATATCACTGTTCAATATTTACCCTTTGTCCCACCATTTCTGTGATTCCCCTTTTCTTCCCCCAATCAGATAAACTTATATACAAGACAGAGGGTACAGAAATCAGAAACAGTAACAAATAATAAATCAAAGGGGAAAAAAGAAAAAAATAGCTACAAACAGTATAATCATTTTGATAAGCATCATTTTATATGGTCATATGCATATAGCAGCTAGTTTCCTTAACAGATATTTTGTTTAGCACAAGGAAAGATGTTTTGTTCCTTTTGTCACGATATTGTCATGCTGCTTAAGTCTCGTCATAGGTGTCTCATTATTTTGGGGTTATGCAAGCAATTTCTTTGTTTTTAATAATTCTTAATGTAAATGACCTAGAAAACACGACTTGAAGATTTTTTTTCCCTTGGCCCAGTTTGGCCTGTGACAGTTCATAGGATTTAACTAGCATTTTTTAAAACTGAAATTTATATCTATATGCATTCATGAAATACATCCAAATTCAAATTGGTGAGGGACTATAATTGAAAATAAAGCCATTGCTACTTGTGACTTGTGTACTAGTTCCAGAAGCTTATTAGCCTTTGTGATATTTATACTTTCAAAATTGAGTTTTCTAAGGTTTTTTGTATTATAATGTGTATTAGTAGCCAGCAAGAAGCCAGATCTGATAATGAATTGTAGTACTGAGGTTTTCTCTAGTGTTTATTTCCTATAGATTCACAACCATTCATTTTCTATACTCTTTATATTACTCTTTATATTATGGATGTCATTTTTAAAGAACCTATCAGGCAACATTTAAAAGGTCCTTTAATTATATAGATACTATCATTTAAGATGGTTTTCTGGAGATTTTTAAAAAATAATTTGTTACCATAAATTATTGTACAAAGGCTTCATTGCGGTATTTACAACTTGTATCTAATTTACTTTGATCCAATTTACTCTTTTTCTGCTACTTTTTCTTTTTTGTGTGAATATTTTTTGAATATTTTTATTATCTTTAAGTAGTTGCCATTCACCAAAGCAGTTTATGAATACAGTGCATCTTGATCGGTGTCGTCTCTTTCAACATTCTCACCCACCCCTCCTAACCTTCCCTACTTATCTTAATTTTAGGTTATGTGTTGAATTTTTGTGCTACTCTTTCTTAACTTCCCTCTCTGTTGCCCTCCCTTATCCTTCCTTTTGGGTAATTTTTGATGGGTTTTATTGTACTTTTTTTCACACATACATATAATTATACTTAAAATAGTCATCTCCCCATCACTTTCTCTGTTTCCTCTTTTCCTACTCACTGACTTTCCCCAGGCCTAAAACAGTTCCCCTTTAGCACCTATGTAATATCATTATTATTGCTACTATTATTATTATTATTTCAGGTCTAGATTCCACATAGGTAGGAGTGAACACATAATTATCTGTCTTTCTGAACTTGGCTTACCTCATTCAACGTGATGATCTCCAGTTCTATCCACTTTACTGCAAATGACATAATTTTGTTTTTCTTTGTGGTTAAGTAAAAATTCTATTTTACTTATGTACCATGTTTTCTTTACCCACTCATCAGTTTTGGGGCACTTGGTACCATATCTTGACTACATTCCTTTAAATATATGCTAAAACTGGTATAGAAACATCATATGGTATTTCTATTTTTAATTGCTTGATGAACCATCTTACTGATTTGCATCATGGCCTTATCTGAATACTTGCCAACATTTAATTGTTTTTTGCCACTCTAACTAGAATGAGATGGAATCACACTGTTGTTTTGATTTACATTCCCTTTATGTCTAAGGATGTTGAACAGTTCTTGGTGTATTTATTTGCTATTTGTACTTCTTTTGAGAACAGTCTGATGTATTTGCCCCTTCATTGGATTATTTGTTCTTTTTGTGATTTTTTTAGTTTGTTGTATACTATAGATACTAACCTTTTGCCTGATGAATATTTTGCAAAGATCTTCTCTGATTCTGTGGGGTTTCTCTTGAATCTAAAGATTATTCCCTTTCATGTACAGAAGCTTTTAATTCGATGCAACCGTTCGTCAATTCTTACACTTCATCCTAAGCAATTGGAGTCATATTTTCCCTGTGTTGTTGTGTAATAGTTTCAAAGTTTTAAATCTTAGATTTAGGATCTGTGATTTATTGTGGATTTATTTTTGTATAGATTAAGAGATAAAGATCTAGTTTAAGTTTCCCAAGGATGTCCTACAGTTTTTGTTTGGTGTTTTTTAAAATAAATTTTTATTTCATGTTAAGTGTGTATATATATATATATATATATATATATATATATATATGTATATGTATATGTATATATGTGTGTGTGTGTGTGTGTCTTAGATTCTGTGTGGCTGATACATGGTAGATATTTAGGAAATATTTAATAAAAGAAAGGATATCATGTATAGAAATAACTGTATAATAATTCTTTGCTAATACAAAGACTTGGATTAGGATATGGTTTCATTATTTAGCCTACTTTTAATATATGAAATCATTGTTATGTTTATATGGTAAATTTCAAATTATTTGAGACATTTTCACAAACCAGAAATTCTTCACAATATTTCA